ACTCTTACAGCAACATCCTCAAGGTCGCACACGTCTGTGGCATTTCATGGAATTTATGTCTTGGCACTCGGCACACACGCACTGCCGAGAGGCCAGACCAGACCAGACCAGGCCAGACATAAATATGGCCAATTTTCAACACTTGAGAGGCGTTTACCAGACACACTCACACACACAGTAACACATCTAATTACCAGAACCAACACACAGAGGTATGCCACAACGTCTCGTGCTTAGTTTTCCCTGTGAAAAATGGTGCCAAACTGTTTTATTTCCCCTGCTGAGTGGGCGTGTCATCGGTCGAGGCCTCTTCCTGCCTTTGACATTCCCATCACGTACACAGCCACACACTTGTGTGCACACACATATATTATACATGCGTGTGCGTGTGTGATGGGGCAACCACTTGTATCATTTGCACCTTTCTGTGTGGGCAATTCTTTCACCTTTCGGCAGCTGCGTCGAAGCGCAATTAATTAGCAAAGCTGTTACCAAAGGTGGCCAACAACTTTTACGCATAGGCGGCGGCTGCTTTGGCCTGCCGTGAAATTTGCTCACATAAATCAAAAGTTTCTCACCCGCTGGCAAAGCATCAGGAAAAAGGTTTCTTGAAAAGTTGCACAAACTACAGAAAATTAATTAAAAGGCCTGCGGCAGACGCAGATCCCAACCCGCAACCAGAACTTAATGGCTGCAAAATGGAAGACTGCAAGGCGATAATAAGCTAATAAGTCTCTCAAAAAAAAAACACAGCTGACACTGTCATTGTCTCATGTCTGTCGAAGATGTGTTTAGAAGGCGATACTGAGAGCCAGAAGCAATCTACAGGCACAGCTTTGCAAACCAGATTCTTTCGTCTAGTCATTGACATTGTCGTGCCGAGTCTCCGCAGTGCGTCAGAGTCGTCAGCTCAGAAGATTCTGAAACATTAAATTGATTATTCGTATACTCGAGACTCGAGACTCGAGACTCTTTCAGCGCTGCGTTCAAGCATCCACATATGTGGAGACTGTGGAGAAGGGGACTTGGATTCTATCTGTCGCTACGCACGCGGATACAGATACAACCAAACTTGTTGAGCGCACTTCACTTCACTTCTTACTGACATTGGCCATGAAATGGCTATGACGTCGACAGCGTAAAGTGAGCGCACACAAAAAAAAAAAAAAAAACAAGGGAGAGAAAAAGTTAAATAAATTATTAAACAATAAATCGAAATAAGCTGTAGCAGCAATCAAAAGCGATTGATACTTGTCTGGCCATTATTCAATTGTGCATTATGCACGGAACCATTATTGCTGGATGTTCATGGAGTTCTGCTCTTTTTTTACTTCTGCACTTTCGAACTTCCCCCTGAAAGTTAAGGGCAATTAAGGAAACTGATTTAATTATTTTTCGTAGCCGCACAAATGAATTAAAGTTGCGCCCCAAAAAGTCAATTCCATACAAAAGGCAAAACCGCAGCGGAGTTGCATCGAGAATGGAGAATCGAGGAAGGCAGAAGTCAGCGTCGCAGCAAGCCACGTTTCGGCCATTGTTTTGCCCAAGAATCAATGAAGCGCGGCAGTTAGCAAACAATTACGAAATCCAACTAAACAGAAGGAAGAGCAGCAGCACACTCCGCACTCCCCCGTTTGCTGGCAACGCTCCAGTTCGAGCACAAGTTTATTAATTAATTGCCACATTTATACCGTACAGTTTTCCTCTTTATATATTTCTGTATTTCTTTGTAGGAAGCGAACTGTGCTTAGGCGCGTGCGAATTGCAACTAACTGCAACCAAACTGGAAGTCAGTCGGCGGATAGCCAGCCAGCCACTTGAAGGTAATGCACATTGCACACGGCAGAAACAGCTGCACACAGATAAGTAGTGCGAATACGGGGTACGAGTAGGAGCTGCATCTGTAGCGCAGCTTTCGTTTTCAGTACCATATCAAGTCATGCTCAAGGGGGAGGGGAATGGATAGCTGACGGAGCGAGACTAAAACAAACTCACACGAAAATTGCGTCACAGTTACACGAAAGAAACCGCAAGCGAAAACGTACGACAGAAACAGAGGCAGAGGCAGAGGCAGCGACGAAACAGAGACCCAGAAACCCCAAAGCGGGCAAAACTGTTGCGCATGCGCCATTGACGTTGCTGCATCTGACTCTCCCTCTCTCTCTCTCTCTCTCTCTCTATCTATCTCTCACTTGGTCTCTGTCTCACTCTGACTCAGGCTACAATTAGCAGGCTGAGACTTGCGTTGCCGTGTAAATTTCCAATTGAATATGATTCGTTGGGTTTTTTGTTGTTGTTTCTACTCTCTTAGAGGGTATTAAGATTGTGAACAGATGCTTGAAGTCGTTTCCATAAATTGATTAAAATGAATTTGCAAGTGCTAAAGCCAGCAACAAGTCTTTGTGGGTAGAACACACAACTGGTTTTATGAATAACCATTCTCAGCGTCCAGCGTCAGGTTTTCACCACAATTAATTCATATCATTTTTGTGTAGTGTATCTTATGCTTCGGTTTCTCAGTCTGGCTTCTCTGCCTTGTGTTTGGATTTTGCACAGAGTGTGATGTTTCGCACAAACATTGCGCATGCGTAGAGACGCAGAGGCCCGTCTATGATTTACGAGCGCATTTCTGAATCACTTTAGACTCGTTTTGTAGCACTAGGAAATGAGATGGAATAGAAAAAATAGAATAGTTTCAGCTTAACAAACTTGTTTGATGTCTTTAATTATGCGAAATGCGATGATAATTGTGCGTTACACTTCCGCATGGAAATGGAGAGCGGACGGGGCGAGCAATTACCGCGCAGATTGTGAGGTAGCTGCCGCCTTGACCTAAGACAACGTTACCAAAGCGACCACCGACCACCGACCACCGACCACCGACAATGGCTCAGGGCTGTCCGTAATCGTAAGGTCATGTGGCCCATTAGAGAGGTATCATTTTTACAGCAAAGTTTCGTATGGCTTGACCGAACAATCGTTAATACACACACCTACACCGTTTTCGGTTTGTTGATGGGCACACAAATGATTTTGGTTTGGCTTCAGCGCCTTGCTGGGAAATCAATTTTCACAACTTTTCCTTGTGAACTTTGCGGCTTTTCGCTTCGTCACCTCCCACTCAAATACACACTCGCTGATGTCTCAATTCGATGTCTTGGTCTGGGCACCGGCGCCACGCACTTCGCGTCTGCTTGCGGAACTTGCGGAGGCGCACGCGCACTGCTTGAGCGTTGCGAAGAAACTGAACAGCCGCCGATCCGGCGTCTGCGCAGCTGACCAGCAACAACACACCTGAGCGCACGGCAGCGCCCTCTGCGGGCAAAGCTCCGCAGGCCGAGCAAGCTTTCGAACGGTTTTTCAAACTTGTAAGCCATAAATAAGCCCATGCCTTGAGCACTCACCAACCATCTGCAAATGGAACTGGAGTCCAACGCATGGCGTGACTGCACTTGAATTGGGCCATTTGCCTTTAAGGCCGGCCTGCCAGCCTGCCAGCCAGCCAGCCAGCTTCTTGGCTAATTGCTGGCCCGATTAATAAAAGTCAATTGCTTGACTTTGCTGCCGTGCCATAAAGTACGTGTAGGCGTTCGCAGTTCCAACTCGTCTCTGGCTCATTGAGAAACATGAAATTTGATGTTATTGGCTTTGTAAGTATTTGGTTAATTTTGACAATGCCGACGGCTGACGGCTTTCGGCTGCCGTCCGCTTCTGTGGCCACTCAAATGCCAGGCCATTCTGAATAGCTCAAATAAATTCAAATGAAATCTAATTGAACTCGCAAATTGAAAACCCCAAACGAAATCAAAAGCCAAGCCGCACAAACAAACCACCGCACCAGCGACCAGCACCCAGAGCCTAGTCCAGGGTCATTAAGCTGGGCGCAAAATTTAATGAAATTACCAATTTCAATGTTATTTGGGCAGCAACCTATGCACGCTCATGTCCGGCTAAGCGGCAAACAAAAATTGCCCCATCAATTGACAGCCAAACAAAGGAAAGCAACAAAAAAGCGAAAGTCAATTGGAGCAACGCTGGTGTGGTGTGGTGGGGGTTTGGTGGCAATGCCAAATCCATTTGTCAGCTGCCAATTTCCATCAGTTATCATTGTTAGGGTTAATGGACGAGCTGGCTTTTTAGGCCAGGCATTTATTTGGGGCCCGTTATTTATGTTTATCCCCGCTTGACACCTCCAAACCTCCGCCGGTGTTGCTGTTTTCATTTCTCCTTCTGATTTGCGCCACTCAATGGCACTGCACTGCCATTTGACACTGGGCTCTGGCTTTGGCACATGGCGACACGCAATTAAGCTAAAAAATAATCATATTTATTTTCAAATTGAATTACAATGTCGAAAATAAACACACATTTTGGGCACAAAAATTAAGCAAATAAACAACACTTCAAAAAGAGCAGAGAATGCGGCAGTGAATATTTGAAATGTGCTGAATTAAACACTCGCGTGGAATATTATCAAATTATCATTAAACAATTAAAGGTAATAGAAGCTTTCATGTTTGTACTTCTTCTGTGAGATTTTCATGCATTTTCAAGAGATTAATATTATATACCATCGATTGCCATGCACCTACTTTATTCACCCCATCACGAATCTCTTGCCTTAGTCATTTCCGAGTAAATATATGTGTAGCTTTATCTTTGTAGCGCACACAAAAGCTGCATATGTCTTAATGCCCAAATAAAAGTTCAAATATTTACTTAGCCCCAGCAAGCGGCAGGCGCACATACTCGAGCTCGTAAGACTAATTTCCATGCGCACAACCTGCTGCTGTCAGGCAGCGCGCTGTATGTGGCGGCCCTGGTCGCAGCCACAATTCGACGCCGACAACTTACAACACAGAGACAGAGGCTAGAAGCCGTGGCCAATGGGTGAGAGATGCTGTGAGCGCGGCCGAAAGCTGAAGCCAAAATTGTTGTCATAGCCGATTGCGTCGGCCCAAAGCGCTCGGCCCACATAGACGCGCGAGACTTGCACGAACAAAATACAGACTCGAAAAACAGTTTACCAGGTGAGAGCGCAGGTTGAACACGTCTCGCACTAGTCACTGTATCGGTTCCGTGTGGATTTTGGCTGTCTGCAACGCGAGTAACTGCGATCTCTGAGGATTAGGAACAATGAAACAAACCGATCGGGGCACACAGACAAATGCAGCTTCTGCAGAGACATCGAGCGTGCGGCTCTTGAGAATACCACGTGCTGCCCCCAGCATTGAGAACTACGGGTTCCATCTGACCCGCAGCAAGTGGGATCCCTACCCATGGGTAATAAAAGGAAACGACAAGCGCGGATCCTGTTACGATCTTTAATCCGATACTTTGTTCCCATAAAACAGGTCTGCGAGGTGGCCAATGGCACACCTGCAGCGCTATGTGGTCTTCAGACGGGTGACTGTGTTCTTGAGGTAAAATATAATAGGTCTCGCTCGTCACTTTGTAAATCTTTTGTGACTAATACATTTACATATATTGCATGTATGTAAATAATAGACTTTGGCATTTGTTAGCGGTTATTGTAAGCTTAATTGATTGGCGTCTAAAACTTCCATTGTAGTTTTATCAGTTGGTTAGTAGAAAATATAAAACACTCACCCATAGAACCGAAACAGTTGGTGCATTCAGAACCAGCTTTTTCCGGGACGGGCACCCACAACCATACGTAACATTTGTAGAAGAAAATCAGAAAGATTAATTAGTGAAAACTAAATAATGAAAACAAACAAAACACTTGAACGACTTATGTATGCACAGCGACGGCAATAACAGTGCTTGGCTTAACAGTGCATGCTGCCTGCTTGAGTTAACATATGCTAACGGTTATGCATAAAGCAAGCAGTCGAAAGCAGTGCACTGCTAAGCAAGCCGGCAAGCAGTCGATTTGAACTTGAAAATGTAAATGCAGACAGGCTTTGATATATTATAACAAAAATCGATATAAAATAATTAAATACGTAAACCAATCCCACATTTCAGGTCAATGGAGTAGATGTGCTGGGAATGCGAGTCGCAGATGTCGCCACAATAGTTAGAAGCCAAAAGGACTGCGTCACAATCCTCTGCTGGAACAGTGGTTGTGAAAAGGACTGTGATAAGAATGTAAGTAAATCCAATTGAACACTCAAAACCGAAATAATTGTGTGAAACCCACCAGAGCATATGCTGTGCACCCATGCCGACCAGCCTAAGACGGCTCTCCACAGCCCTGGAGAGTATACTGCGCCTGGTCGAGTGTCCCATCTGCAATCTGACCATAACTCCGCCAGCCATGCAATGCCAGAACGGACATGTGCTCTGCGTTGATTGCCGTATTCGGGCCGAGCGCTGTCCCGTCTGTCGTGACTTTTACACGCCGCGTCGGGCCTTGTTGGCCGAACAGATTTACTTGACCATTGCGAATGCCTTTGAGATGTGTCGCTCCGAAGATAAATTGCGACAAAAGCTCTTCGCGGGCATCACCAAAGTCGCAGCCGTACCGCAACCGGCCAAAACACTTGCTGACCAAAGCATTTGGCGGAAGCGAAGGCCGATGCTGGCAACGAATAAATTTCTAACCAAGCTGCTGGACGGGCGCAGCGACCCGCTGGAGAAACTCGTCGAGTCCAATGCTGCCACACTGCTGCGCACAAATTCCACAGACAACTTCAATGCCTCCAATGAAACGATACAATCAGCAAAGCCGACAGAGACACCCAGTGCCACAATGGCGAGGACGACAACAATGCATCCTTCACATGATGAAATTTCGGGGCATCTTTCACTCTCAACAAATGATTTACGGCATGCAACAGTTAAGCTGAAAGGGCAGCCCAATGGAGAGAGTAATGTCCCAGCCGAAGACCATGGGGAGCAGGAGTCGGGCAGTAGCCACAGATCCATCTCCGTCTCCATCTGCTCCTTGCCAACTCGTCCGCAGTCCGACAGTCTGCTGTTCATAGGAAAGAGTCGGCCCTTGGCCCTCCGAAACGAGTACATGCCAGCCAATGTCAATGAATCTTCGAGCACGCTCCAGCTGGCAGCACCACCTTCTGTCACTCTGAGTAAATGTGGCACGGACCTACCATCGGAGGTTGTCCAAACAAAGCCTGCCTCTCTGCTCTACTGCTGCCCGGGCGAGTGCGAGTGCGAGTGCGCGTGCACCTTGCGTTTTGATGATGAACTGAAGCTGGAGCTGGAGCTGGAACAGGACAAGGATCAGCAGCAGCAAAAGCAAAAGCATCAGCGAGAGAACTGCTGCTACAAATCCGCTTTTCGTCTGCTTTGAACATTCAGTTGCCGCCAGGCAACTTAATCAACGGACATGCACTTATCAGTGGGACATTTTCATTTGGCATTTCCTTTTTTGTTTGTTTGTTTTTTTGTTCTTGTGTTCTAATTAAATTAAACGCCAGCTGCTTTGCCAAAGTTGCTTATCACCCGAGCAGACCAGACCATTGCAGTGGTCCCCCATGGGTCATGGGCAGGGACATCTGTAAAAGAAATCTACGAGAGCGGAGGGAAGGAGCGCCCACAAAGTCCGAGGGTGCCCAGAAGGCTGTTGCATGGCACCCTGCACTCGATGCCAGTCAACCAGGCAACCAGCGAGAACTTGGCGATGAAGATTTCTAATTGAATCACTTCTGAACGCTTCAATGATTCTGTGTCATTTGGCGTGGCTCGATAATGAAGTTTGCCAGGGTCCAACTTTGATGGACGGGCGACAATGGAGTCCATTTGTACGTATGTAAAAGATGTTCCTTGCACTGCAAGTTATTATTGCCTGCAAGCACCCGTCCGGCTAGGCTGGTCAATCAAGAGTGAAGCGCGTAATAAGCTTTTCATATCACTGTCCACTGTAAACTGTCCTGTCCCGGGGCAGCCATAATGACAGCCGCAGAGGGACAGCCATTATGTCGGCCATTTACCATTTAATATCGATGCAAGGCAAGGCAAGGCAAGGCGTTGAAAGAAGGCAAGATGTCAGCTGGGAGTAAACAACGCCAACAGCAGGCATCCATCCTAGTCCTTTCGCCGTTCCGGACAACCGCACTGCTGGTAGTTGCAGCAGAACCACCCGCTGCCTGCTTGGATTGCTATGAAAATGTCATCAAAACCGGAAGTGGCAGTTTAATTTAAGCGCGTTAATTGAATTTTATTTTCTGCCATGTTGATCGCCCTGGCAAGGCCCAGGAGCCGACCCAAGCCAGAGACCTGAGCCAGTGGCAGAGGCAGAGCCGAAGCCGGACCGGACCTACCCGGGTATCCGGGTATCCGGGTAGGATGCGGAAATTGATTTGCTGCTGTTGCATTGTGTGGACGCCCGGCCATATCCCGTGGCGTCGACACTGGCCGTCACCGTCACCGTCACCTGGCAAACTTTAATTACAAACTTCTATGCCACATTATGCGGCAGTCAGCAGCTGTAGGAGGGTTTTGTTGTTGTCGAAAATCTGTTTAAATTGCTGTTATTGTTGCCAGTCTTTGTACTCTCTCTCTCTCTCTCTCTCTCTCTGTATTTCTGCCTTCTCCATGGCTGTCCGTGTGCATGTTTCTATGTGTATGTGTGTGTGTCGCACACTTTCTAATTGCATTTCATTATCTATTCGAAATGACAGCAATTTCGAGGGTCGCCAATGATATTGGTAGCAATGGAACTGGAACAAGTGCTGCTGCTGCGGTGTGCAGTGCAATTAATTTCTACTTGTGAACAAAAAGAAATCTGAAGGTAAAGCAGTTGCTTGTGCTGCTTCTACTGCTTCTACTGCTTTCTCTACTGCTTGCACAATTCGCAATGGGAAGCCTGAAGGAGGCTCATCCATTTGGTTTTTAATTAATGTGAAGCACTCATTATCGACTGCAAATTTTACCTTGGCTGTACAGGACTTGAAGATTGTTAAAGCATTCGGTGCGGACTCTTCAAAAATTCTAATTTGCATCCTTGGCCGCACAACCACAACAGCAGCACAGGCGGAGGCAGAAGCAGCACAAAGTTTAAGTTCTTCGCTTGCATAAGAATAAACGGCACTTTGGGGCAAGTTTTGCAGCAATACAACAACAACAAGAACAAGAACAAGAAGAGCAGAGCAGGAGCGGGGGCAACACACTAAGTGGTAATGGCCAAAACAATAAATTTACTTTGGAGCAAAATTTCGCTGCCACACCCACTCGAGCAGTAGCTGCAATGTTAGGGGTCACGTCAGTGCAGCACACCACACCACACCACACGGCATATGCGTACCCTGGCCCAAGGGCAGCTTATCAGCCGTGGCCGTAGCAGCCAGCTTTTGCAACAATGTGACCATGTCCCCCGCCCCCGAGCGAAGGAAGAGGGAATGAAGCGAGCAACAATTCGGAGAATCCTTCCCTTTTTGGCGGCGCAGCTGTTCCGTGTAGCGCCACAACCTTAGAAAGTTTCTAACGAGCAACCAGCCCCAAAGCCCACCCACCCAAGCTTCTTCCCATGTTGCTTCACGCTGTTGCCTGATGGCTGTTGCCTCATGGCCCGTTATTGTTACTGTTTAGGCGGCAAACAACATGTGCGGTTGTCATAAATTTAACGCCAAAAGAGCATTTTAAGCACTCAGACAGCTCAAGTACAAGCAGAGGTGGGACGGGGCACTTTGTCGTCTAATTACTCTCGGGGAAAACTTTCGAGCAGTAGTCCCCCTGTGTTAGGGCTAACTGAAAACTTTGACGAGCCACCGGAAATGTTTAATTAATTACACAATGGGAAATGCAGTATGCAGATGCTGCGTGAAAAGTATTTTCATATTTAAATGCTCGCATTCGAGTTCATATTTGAAATTGTCAATTGTGTATGTTGCGGAGGTGGGAATAAATAAATGCGAATTATTTATTCAATTAAATGTTAAAAAACGTGCTGCCAGGATGCTTTATTGCATTATCGATGGGGGGTCGGGGCCACAGTAAAATATGGCACACATGTCTGCTTTATTTTATTTCTCCCTCCCTATTATATCTTTGTGCAGAATGCAGAAGGTATGCTGTGTTGATGTGTGCTATGTAACAGCAGCTTTTTCTGGTCTTTCGTGGAATATAGTGTAGCTCCAAGTACAGCGTTTAAGCATCAGTTATAATTCCCCATGCAGCGGGAGGTATTTCTTAGTCGTTTACTCAACGAATAACCAAGGATTCACTGATTTCTTTGCTGCTGTTCCATGTCCATGCTGCAAGCAGTGCAAAGAAACTTAATTATGGTTGAGCGACGTAGCGCGGCAGCCAGCCTGATTAAATTAAAACGAATACAAATACGATTGCGTTTGCGATTGCGAGTATGAAATGAATGCAGAGAGCTACCCCATTCAGACGGCACTGCCCCATAAATAGGCAACAAAGCGCTTTACTTCGGACTACGGGGGACATGTGTGAGTGACACATTTCACACTGGGATTGAATTAATCGAAAACTCAGCTGGCGCTGGCTACGCAAAATGGAAAGTGACATGTCAGGACCAGCCACAGCCCTTTGACTTCTTTTATCGCAAAATTATGAATGTGCCGCCATGGTGCGATATAATCGCATTCAGCCCACTACAGACCAGCACCAGAGAGCAAGCAATCCAAACGGCAAATTAAACCATTTTTGCCCCGACCACAATTAGAAAAAGTGGAAAGACACATGGCAAACAAGGACGGGTGTTCCGTTGGAAATTAAAATTAAAATTCCATTGATTAGAAAATTGTAAATGCATGGAATTTTGGTATATCGCTCTGTGGCGATCTTTGGATTTGCATAATTGCGGAACAAACCGCCGAAACGCACCGAAAATCGGAGCCACAGAACATGAGAAACAGCAACGGCAACAGCAGCAGCAGCAGCAGCAGCAGCAGCGGCAGATGCTTATCGGAGTGGAACTTGCCACCGGGCACTGGCGAGCGAAACTCCCTTCTGCCTTCTGGCTGCTGGTGCCTCCGTTGTGGTGCAGGAGGAGGCACATAAATATCAAATATTCCAACACATGGGGCTGGCGGGGCCTTTGGCTGGGAACCCTGAAACCTGCTCCTTCCATTTTGCATCCTACGCGCTGAGAACCCCTTCCGTTTGGCTGTGGGAGTTTTTAATTAAAATAAAAACGAACAGCAAAAACGGCAATGGAAATGCCACATAATTGTCGAATTGTTGCCACTTGCCACGCATATGTGTGCGCGGGCATTCGAGGCGAGGGCGTGGCCGTCGTGGACTGGGACGTGCAGCTCTGCTGATTAACAAAAATAAATTGTGAGCGCGACTTCGCTGGTACAACAATTACTCCCACAAGCACTCGCACAGGTACGAGGCAGCCATTTTCATAAAACTTCACAGCCTCTGCTCGTACTCGTTCTCGTTCTCGTTCTCGTTCTGTTTTGTTTGTTCGCCTAGTAAATGTTTAGCCGCCATCCCACACACTCGGTGTGTGAGTTTTTGCTGCACAATTTCTGCACTTTAAGCTCAAACCTAACATCCATAACGGGAGCCGTAACACACAACAGAGCCAGCCAATGACCACTTGTAGACCACTGTAGCAGGCAGTCCGGCCGAGTGACCAGTAAACGGATATTACAGCGGGAATATCGTACGCAGATCTGGCATGTAACATTCATAAATAGTATTTATCCATCAAGCTAGTTCCTCATTAAGCAACTCTTCAATAAAAGATTCTGCTTTGGGTTTCTCTCCATTTTAGGTTGTAACCATCACCAGACCCAGCGAACACCTACAAAACGAGCGATACACACTCAGACATAGTGGAGTGCTGTCAAAAGTCAAAATCATGTGCCTGTGCTCATGTTTTATGTGTAGGAGGATATGGATATGCGGCGCTGCTTTTAATTGCTTTGCATTTTCGTTGTTTATTTTGTTGATGTTGTCCCTGTCTGCCACAATGTGTTTGTGTTTGTGTTCGTGTTTGTGTGTTGGGGCATGTAATGAAGAGCCGTGTCGGTCTGCATATTAACTGGCACACTTGCAGCATTTTTAAATGCAGCTGGATGACCCATCCCTAAGCATTTTTAGTTGCTGCTGCACAACCCACATGTACAGCAAAAACAGAAGCCGGAAACGGAAACGGAAACGGGTAGCTGGATGTGGATGTGGATGTGGATGTTGGTATGAGTGGCCGAGCAAGTAAATTTGCGCACGGCTTTCATTGTCTGTCATAAGCATAAATGGTTATTAATATTAAAGTTCATAACGGCCAATGTTAACTGCTCATTTAACGGGGCCATGCTTCTGGCCACTTTATTTTTAACCCGCTGCTCTGCGCTGCTCTGCGCTGCTCTGCTCTGCTCATTGATATGTTGGCAGTTGTTTACACATTAACAGCCCGCTGTGCATGTGCACCAGCATGCCCGGGTGCAGTTTCCAACCAGTTAACGAAAGAGGACATTTGAGCCTTATTAAGTCGCTAAAATTGCATTGGCAGTGGGCAGTGCAACATTGCTGCAGCTGTGGCAAGGCATTTATGGGGGCAGATTCTGTTAATATCCAATGCAGCTATCCATTAAGGAAACGTGTTGGTGTATTCTTTTTGGAATATTAAATCAAATTAGAGCAGCCCATGCAAAACAACCATTCGATGCGAAATCAGTGCACAATCACAAATTAATTGAAGGCTTAAGCCCATTTTTATGCATTTTATATGGGTCGTAAATGAATGCGAATATGTATTCGAATTTATGTGCATGGATGCAGGACAAATGGATGCGAAACTGAAAATGTGTTGAATTCGTATAATAAATTAACTACACACACACACACACACACCCACACACACATGCATGGGGGATGTAAATTATTTTTTGAATGCACAGCAATTAAGTGAAGTCAGGCGGGCAAACATGAAACGGAAATCCCAGCATGTTGTACGGGTCTCCCTTTCCGTGTTTTTCTGCCTCGAGTGCCAGGTGAAATCGAAGTGGATCCTAAGGGTCAATGGTTACCCAGGAGTGCGTACATTAAAGTGCAATAATTGTGGGCGAACATTCTTTGCACATTCTCGCCACTGCCTAAGAGATTAACGCTCTGCTCCCAGCGTTTCTTCTCAGCCAAAAATTTGGCAATAGAGTTATGATATTTGCGATTAAATCTGCATACTTACCCTTTGAGCATTCGGCACTTGAACATCTTTGCCAGCTTGTAGGTAGGGCTATGGCATTAAATCCGCTTTAATGCAATCTTTTTGTTGTCCATGTGCTTCACATTAATGTTTATTCACGTAGTGAGAGCGCAAAGTAATTAATATGCATATTTTAATATAATTACATATGCAAACAAGTTGCGTAAGAAAAAATCATGGAAATTAATTTGATTAATGTGGCACATCGTTGTTGTTTTTCCCGTCAAGAGAATCCTTAACAGAGCACTTCTCGGGCGGGGGTGCTTAATGTAAAGAGTAAAACTAAATTGAGGATTCACCGCTCTCACGGCCACTGCGGAGGAGGGTGAAGGAAGACGCTGCTAATCACTGGAACCAACGGATGATGTCTGGGAACATTTCTTATGGACTAAACTATGGGCTAAGGGATGTGCTATATACAAGTCATGGTAGGGGTCTCTTTCTGAGATCTTTGGACATAGAATTGCTGACTTTTGGTGGACGCTAGCTAGAACTAGTATGAATCCTAATTTCGAACCTTAGATGAACTCCTGAAAGTCCAGCATATCGAAATTATTGTCAAACTCTGATTGTAAATGTAAATGAACTGCGGGGCTCTTGCATGTTGCTGGATCCGTGTAGGAGTCCGCGATGTACTTTGTCACGTACTCGAACGACACAAACTCGCTCAAATGGCATTTGCTGGCCCTGCCCCCCTGTGTGGCAGCCACACTGCTAATCCCATTAGCGGCTGAGGCAACTGCCGGCTTCGCAGTGTCCCTTAACGGACTGGGATTGGGACTGGTGCTGGTGCGGGTGCTGGTGCTGGGGCTGGGACTGCGTCCATTCGTTGATGTCAGCAGTTGTTCGAGCTCGCTTAATTGATTAATATTTTCATGGTAATTGTTGCTGTTGCTGCTGCAAACGCTCAGCGCATCCGTTTCCGTTGCGGGCGCCATGTTGCCATATGTTGTTGCTGCCGTTGCTGATGCTGATGTCTGTACTGCTGTGGTTGCTCCTGCTCCTGCTCCTGCTCCTGTTGTTGCCTCATTCTGATTGTGCTCAATGATGACAATGCAATTTGACAACTCATTAAAGTTCATTGAATTGTTATTAGCTGCAACATTGCCGCAGCCATTGCGGTTTGTCCTGTCCGCAGTCGTTGGCCCAGTCTCAAAGTGAAGCATCGAATCGCTGCAACTATTGCTGCGTTGCTGCCGTTGCTGCTGCTGCTGCTGCTCACCTGTCGCCGCACCTGTCGTCGCACCTAAGGGCGCACCACCGCACAGAGCCTGGGCCTGGGCCTGGGCTTGGGCCAGTGCGGATTCCGAGTGACGGCGTGTTTTGGCCGCCTTCTTGCTGCAGGCATTCGATGGGCCACCACCACCACCACCGCCGCCGAAGCCGCCGGCAGATTTGCGGCGCACCAGCTGTCCATTGGCATTGCGCAGCGCGTGATTCTTGACATGTTTGCGCAGGCTGGAGGGATCCGTGTAGCGCTTGGTGCATCCAGGCAGCTGGCAGGCATACGGTTTCTGTGTCAATAGAGCGAGAATAGACGAGACGCTTTGCATTAATATTTGCCAGCTTCAATGGAGCGCGCAACAGCGCGGCACAAAATGTTGTAGCTGTTGCTGCTGCGCCCTAAAAGTATGCAATTGATTTGTTCTCCCACACACACACACGCACACACACAGGACCTGCATATGGCTTGGCATATTTGCCAAGTCAAATCGTTTTGAAATGTCATGCTGCATTTTGTTTGCTCTGCCTGTCCGCGGGCACCAGAAGCATTCGCCTGCCACCCATCCACACATTGTATCCTTTTGTGATCCTGATTGGCTGCCCCCATGCCACAACCACCTAAAACTGCTCCTAGCGTGGGTCTGGCAACTCGTTTAGTTTATTCGATTTGCCTTCATGCTGGCTGTGCCCTTTTTCCGGCTGTACCACGCGCTGACGCGGCTGTTGCTGTTCTAGCTGTTGCCGCCGTGGCCGTGGCCCTTGCCGCTGGGCCAAAACAGAGCCAAAACTATAAATCACTCAGGCAGCGAAATGCGAAATGTGCACATGTCATGCTGGCAGCAGCCACAACAGAAGCAACAGAGCAACAGCAGCAGCAGCAGCAGCAGCAGCAACTGTGGCACACTTTTTTGTGCTCTTTGAGAGGGTATTATGCCTGTCCAAGGAAGAGTCCACATAGCTGTGTGCATCTGTCAATCTGCATTTGTTTCTATGCTAATTCGCAGCACCAAAGATCGGATCTTTCAATGGATAATCCAACCAAAGTGCATCATTTCATGGTACACTCTATCCGCAAAAGGGTATCCCACTTTCTCATTGTTTTATTTTTGTTTCATTTAATGTGACTTTGTCTCAGCTGTGCGCCTTGGCAGCCATTAAATCTTTAAGCTACTTGAGCTTGAGACCCCAACTGCATCTTGCCCCAATTGACTCCCTGGCCGCAAGCACTTCAATTTCCTTTTGACACGCATTGCAAATTGCTTGCCCCACGCACACACACACACACAGACATAAGGGGAATGTACTCACCGTGTCGTAGTGGGTCCTTTGATGTTTCGCCCGATCCGAACTATTGCTGAACGCTTTGAGGCAACCTTTATACTGACAGCCATAAGGCCGTTCGCCCGTGTGCGAGCGTTGATGAATTTTCAAATTTTCCAAACGCGAGAATGCTTTATTGCAGCCGGGAAACTGTAATGGAAAAAAACACACACAAAAATGAAAGGTGTCATCGAAAATTGCAATTACTGCCGCAGCACAGGAGCAGGTGCCAAAGAGGAGGAGATTGAGATGAGTCCAGAGTCGAGTGGAGTTGAGTTGAGTGTCCGAAGGACGTATAAAATTGTGACCTCGATGTTGCCCCCCAGGTAGCCCACCCTCACACCTGTCACACACACACACCCAGTGAAAGGGCAAATTACGCTTTTGCAACAGGAACAGGGAACAGGGAACACAAACAGCAAACAGCAACAGCAAGTGTAATGGCAAAAGGCAGCTCCAAGCAGAGTGCGAGTTCTTTTTGTACGCTCCCAAAAACAACCAAGAATCCATCAATTACTCAAAAATCAAAATGAAAGAGCATCCCGGAGAGAGATGGGACGTAGAAGATACAGTCAGAGTGTGTTTTTGTGTGCGTGTGTCCCCTAATAACATTACCAGCACAACTCTATTTCAAGTGGACTTTCGACTGCTGCTGGGAACTCTGTCCTGGGAACTCTGTCAATATCTGTGATTGCTTTGCGCCGCACAATTCATCATCTGAGCGAAGGCAGGCTCCAATGTCGCATCAAATGTCAACACGTGCATGATAAAAGCAAATGCCAACGAAATATTAAGACGACTCAAAGATACTTCCTTTATTAGGAAGCACTCTGACACAAGAGGGTCGCAGGACCAAAAATCAGATGGTTGGCCGATGTATCTACCTTTTCTACTCCTTTGGCAATGGGTATCAGCAAAGGAAACTAACACAGCCATCGTATCGTGTGGAAAAGTCTTGTTTCGAAACATAAACAAATATGGCAGCAGCAGCAACAGCAGCTGTGCTTTGCTGTGCTGTGGAAAAAAATAAACTCCCCTTGTCTGATTTTGAAAAATGGCATTCGGCACGAGATGGGACAGGTTTTGTGCTGAATTGGCTTGGATTCTTACCGGACATTTATTCGGCTTCTCGCCGCTGTGGACACGCATGTGAATGAGCAATTTGTAGCGGGCATTGAACGGCTTGTAGCGACGGGGACAGTCCAGCCAGAAGCAGGAGAAATCCTCGCCCTTGCGCACATCCACGTGACACTTCTCGATATGCTCCACGAAGGCTTGCTGGTGGGGGAACTCCACATTGCAGCCGGTCCAGCGACAGATGAGTGGCAGCGGTTCCGCCTCCGCCTCGGCCTCAGCCTCGGCCTCAGCCTCTGCCTCCGCATCGCAGCAGCTCTCCGGCTTGATCTCGCAGTCCGACGGCTGGGCGAACACCTCGTTGTCGAGCTCATCGAGGGTCCCGGTGTCCTCCTCATTCTCATTCTCATTCTCATTGTCATCATCCTCGCTGTCCATGCCCATGCCCACACCCATGGCTGACTCAGTTTTGATCAACTCATCGGCAAAGTAATTAGCCATATCGGATTTGGTACTTTGGCATTGCGGCGACTGCTGATTGCCGTCGCCCAGCATCAGTTCGTCGAGCTCGTCAATGGTCCAGATGATTTTGTGTTCACGGTTTGGCTTCTCGATGGCGTGCGACATATTATTTTGATAATTTTCGGCCGCGTACTGTGCCGCCCCCGGGCCGGAGTAGAGATTCGAGTAATCATCGTAATTGCTGGCGCACATGGGAATGCATTTGGGTGTCCCGAATGTGGAGCTCATCGATGGCAGCTTGGTGGGCGAGGGCTCCTGCTCCTGCCCCTGCTCCTGCTCCTGCTCCAGCTTGATGTGTTGCTGCTGCAGCAGGAGGCCATCGTACATGTTGCACAGTTTGGGCGATGATGTGGCGGCGCCTGCCGCGCACGTGGCTGTGGCAGTGACTGGCATCTCGCCGAGATTGAAATTCAACCAGGCGTCCAGGTGCGGTGATGAGCACGGTGATTGGTTTTTCGATTGGCAATTAATTTCGTCATAATTAAAATAATCAATATCCAGATTAATGGAGTCGGCCTGCGAGGCCGCCAAAGACGCGGCATCCACCGGCACCTGGCTGGACTGGGCGCTGCAGGGCGTGTAGGGAGTGTAGGGCGTGTGGGGCGTCGGCTGCGGCTGCGGTTGCATCAATCCGGAGAAGTCGGGCTCTCCGGTCAGTCGGGCAATGTCCTCCGGCTCGAAGCGGAAGATATCCTCCCGGTTGAGCTGTGTGTACTGGCCCTGCTGGTACGGCATGCCCGTGTGGTCCGCCGAGGCGCACACAATATCATCCTGATCCTGGTCAAAGTCCTGATCCTGCCCCACAAAGTTGTGGCAGTCGCTGAACACCGAATTGGGTGTCTCCGCGGCAAAGCAAAGGTGCGAAAAGTCCGGAAACTGCAGCTCAGCTCCGGTGAAGTTGTTGTAGCCGCCGCTGCCGGCAGCCTCCACCTTGAGTGGGGCCCGAAAAGTGTCGTTCCGATTGGACGATCCGCCTCCAATTGTGGCACTCAGCGGGGGCGACATAAAGGCGCCGTAGCAAGTGTTCTCCTCGAATGCCTTGCCCGGCATCGATGGTGCCATGGTCTTGACGTACATGCCGCCGCTGTGGCTGGGAATGCTCAGCGGCAGTTGCTGCGACTTGAGCGTGGAAGACATATTATGGGACGTCTGATTACTTTTCTTTTGTGTCACGATGGGCGACCGCTTTCACTTTCGCATTTCCGGCAGTTGTCTAGCTCGACGATTTGGCAGTGGCAGCGTATTGTCCAACTTGGGCCGAGTGCCAATATTTTGTATGGTCACAGAACGCGGGAAATCCCAAAAGAACACACACACACACACACGAACTCGTACACTCGCACACTCGCACACACGAGACGAAAGACGAGAGGAGAGTTTTCTATTTCAATAATCGCTGTTCTTGGCTCTCATTAGTTGTTGGTACTTGATGTGATGTTCACGCCACCGCGTTCTATCTGACAATAACGCGCAGCGCTGGTGCCGCACCGTTTTTAAATGCCCGGAACGGGAATGGGAGCGGAATGGATACGGCGGCGGGATAGCATGGGGGAAGGGGTACGGTACACATTGGATCCTGCCTTCGGTTCATGCTGCCGCGCGACACTCTGCCGCAGCTCGGCTCGCCCTCTGCCATGATCGGTGTCGCACTCTTCTTTGGTTTTTCTTCTTTGGCACGCACATGTGCTCCCGCTTCCCCGCACTCTTCTGATCACACAGTCCTCCCCCTCCCCCCCTCACTTTCCGTGCGTCTCGCTGTCTATGTCATGGTTTTCCTGTCGTGTTTTTAGTACTGTTGCTGTTGTTCTTGTTAAAACTGTTATTTTAGGCTTATGTTTGTGTATAGAAAATTATGCGTGAGTCGTACACAGAGGAGAGTGCCCGGTGGGAAATGCGATTATCCAGAAAGGGAAACTGTTTGCAGAAGGCCAAAAGAGCATTTGATTTGAATGGGAATTCTTACTGCTTGCTCTTTAAGCTGCTTGGATCACTGCTTGCAGTACTTCTTTAACTGTTTCACTCCACACAAGCAGTTTAAATTCTCTTTCGCTTACAGATGCAACTGCTTGCTTATGGTTAAGCAGGTAAAGCAGAATCTTCTGAGAGAATTTAGAGCTTGAGCTACTTCAGTGAGAATCTATTTATCTATTGTTTAAATTAGTATCTAGTAGTTAGTTAAAATTATACACAAATTGAAGAACACATATTTAATTTAATTTACATTTTCGTGTGCCTCATTTTCCACCGAGCACTTGACCGTGGCACTGTCTGATATCTCTGCCTCGACGCGAACATTTCCAGCGCTGGCAACTGCCGCTGTGTGCCGCTGCTGCTGCTGCTGCTGCCTCGCGATCTTGCCATTGCACCACATGGTGTGCAAGTGTGCTCTGCTCTGGCTTTCCACTGCATCGTCATCGTTGCAATGATGCTCTGCTCTTGTGCTACTTGTTGTTATTGTTGTTGTTGCAGCTAGGCCGTCGAATGTTTTAGCACTATTTTTTATTGCCGCATAATTCCCATTTTTGTTTCTCCCTTTACTTTGGCTTGGCAGGCGGGCGGAAAGTACAGTAAGTACAAATGCTGCCAAGAGCAAGAGCTAAATTTATTAAGGCAGAAGCAGAAGAGACAAATAGCACTCCCTAACAGGCAGGTCGATCTCTGGATCTCTCTCGGTTTCTGGCTATTTTTAGACCTTAATCCTGAGTGTGTAAGTGGAGTGCCGCCTGCCCGCTAATGCCTGACAATATGTTTTTAATTTGCGCCACAGAAATGCAATTGCGAAACTATTTGCTGGCCCCATTCCCTGCAGCATCCCTTGTTGTCCTAGGCCCCGGGAAGTGCAGCTGCCAATCCAGTAATTTACATTTTTTCAATAGTGACATTTCCGGAGCATGAGTCACATCCAGTTTCCAATTTCCAGTGGTGCCCACATCAATATGAATCACTTTCCGCTGTAAGTTCTAGTTTTTCCCACCCATTCAACGCTGCCATCCCCAGTGGCCAGGCACTTCATCATTAAATGATGCCATCCTCATCATCCATACACTCGTAATCTTCATATTTTGAATGTTTTTTGGCAAGCATCACGACTTGGCGCACGTTCTTCGGTATGGCAGCAGCTGCCCCTGGTCTGGCTCTGGGTCTGGGTCTCGGTCTGTTCCTGGGTCTGGGTCTGGGTCTGGGCCTCTGCCCGGTCGCGTCAAGTCAATTCAGAAACGTTTAACACACAATTTTTACCACTTGCGCGTTTGTCACTCTGTGTGAGTCCCGGACGAGAGCAGCGGCAACAAAAAATTGGGCTCCTGGCCAAAAAACCGTGTGGCCGGTGCCTTTGTTGGTCGCTCAATTGCGACAACTTACATCATTGTTAAAATTAGTCGATGTTGGCCATTCTTTGTTGGCATACTCGCACTAGACCTGTGGTCCGCTGCTGGACCTCTATACCTCGCCCGATGCCAATGCGATTTGATGTTTATGGTACTCTGTGAAAGCCGATGACGCGCGTCTACTTTTCCTGGGAAAACACTCAACCATTTCCGCTGTCAAATGCTGCTGCTGCTGCTGTTCCGACACTCTGTTGAATATTAATTTTCACAAGATTTAAGGTAATTTGTCTTGGCCGTGGGCAGGACCGTGCGTCTCCCCAATTTACGAGTACGATTATGTCCGAGAAAAGTTTCAATTTCAATTTCAATTAAATTGTGGCAGTGAATCACTGCACTGCACTCTCCTCTTTTGCTGAATGCATTTTCGTTTGAGTGAATTTGTATGGACGTTATTTTAAAAACTCATCAGATTAATTAGCTGTATAAGCTTTCAACTCCACGGACTCAGTGAATGACCCTTGCCATGGCTGGCCACACGAGTGCCTTTACGCAAACATTTTCAATGAAATTTTCATATTTTTTCGGACTGCCAACTGCGAACTGCGAACTGCGAACTGAAACAAATATACAGCATTAATGGTTATACTCGAATGCAGAATGTTTGGTCAACATCATAAGTCCATCACAGGAGTGGAGTGGAGGGAGTGCGGGGACACGGACCGAATGTCGAATGACTTTAATGAAAAATCGTAAATAAAATTGTGGGGAAAAAGAGCGGAAAAATGTGTACTTAATACAATTTATTTGTTGCCAAGTAATGAGACTGTGTGTGCGGTGTCGATTTGTTAATGAAATTTTCAACATTATGTTTTCCGCTGAACACCAAACAAATATACATACGTACGTACATACATATATGTACATATGTGTACATATTTACATGTGGAGTGTGCATGCGACTGAGTTCATAAATTTGTCAATGATTTTCCACTTGACAGTGCTGGAAATGGGCGCGTTTATTTACTTTACATTCCCCATTGACAGGGTCTTGTTTGGTATTGGTATTGGTATTGGGATTGGAGTTGGAGTTAGTGTCAGATCTGGGGTAATTGTAAGAAAGCAGCAGACGAAATGGTTATGGCCGTTGTTTATTTCCAATCATAGACATCATCTGGGGCCGCTGCTTTGCATGTGATTGGGAAATGTGTTTAAATAAATAAATAGGGAACAAGTTCAGTTTTACTAGTACGTAAACTCATTTGTCAAAATAGAATGATGCATAAACAAAGCCTCTTGATTGCCATACACAGCTTGCTCGTACGTGTAGGATAGGGGCAGCAAAAATCTATCTGATTGAAGGGTGATTCATGCCCAAAGGAACCCCTATCAAAATTTGTGATGCTGTGATACCAAATTCCTTAGCATATCCATTGTACATACGTGTGTACGCACCTGTAAGTCTGCTTGTTGCCTGTGTAAACCCTGTATCTAGTGTAATCTCATTTGTTTTCCTTTGGCACTTGCCTCCTGCTGAAATGGATATTATTTTTTCAAGAGGTACAATACATGTGGCGTACCAAAATCCAATTGCCTGCAAGACAAACAAGAAGGCTGCAAAAACACTTTCCCCCACAGTGCGAGAAATAGGCTTGCTCCCAACTTGGCAGAATTTCAAAAATATCTTTTGCATTTTCTGTCCGAATGGGGCAAACAGGCAATTTCTCGTCAATTTGTTTAGGTGCTCGTGAGGCTGCTGCTATCCTGACTGTTTGACTGCTTCCCCCTGGATGGAACTCATTCAACAAGTAAATTTGTCAGAGCGTAATTTGATTTTGTTTAGCCAAGAGAAATGTGGGGGTAAAAACACTGACATTGTCGATGTTTAATTTGTAACTTGAGACGCGCAGGCGCGACATTCAACTTGAACTAGCCTCCGCACTCTCCACTGTTCTCCTCCATCTACTCGCACTCCTCCCCACAGTTTCCTGTCAGAATGTCAAATGATTGCGTTGACATGCGTGTCGGAGGAGCCGCCGCTATCGTCTCCAGCTCTGATTTGGTGCAGCGAAATATGTTTTAGCATAATTCGAATATCCAACCAAAAACGTGGATTCTTTGTGGATTGTTTGGCTGGTTTCGCTCTCCGAGAGAGTGTCAGTCACTCGGGTCTAGGCGGCGGTGGCATTATAATGAGCTGTTGCCGTTGACCTCTTGACATTTTACAACTCGAAAGCCGAAGCCGAACACATGTGGCAGGTTCAAAAGTTGACAGCAAATTGACTGTATTTATAAACATTTTAAAGGCGTCGCACAATAAAAAGGAAAATAAACGGAAAACCGACAAAACTAAGGGAAAAGAGATGAACTGCGAGCTGACTGCAGTTGTATAAAGGGAATCCGAAACAGTTCACGCCCCCCGAATGTATTTTAATATGCAATTTTTATGATTATTGCACCAGGGGACTCATAGCGAGATCCCATCTGCAGTCGGGAGGAGGACATAGTCAGTAATTTTTACGAGTATGAGCGGCCACATTTTGTGTGCCCCAAAGGGCATTTAACGGTGGCATTTTGTCCACTCATTAAACCGACACATGGACATACTAGACGAGACAACATCATACAGTTGACCGGGACCCTAAATCGTTATTCAGTGTTACGTTTTAATTAGTTAGGAGAGTGATTTATGCGACCGAGCTAGTGACTATTCCGCTCTGGGTCGTATCGGATTGCAGGACCGTGAAACTTAATGCCAGTCTGTCACGGGTATAGGTGTGTGTTTTGCATAGCAAATCAATGGACCATCCAAATTGGTAACGTGCACCTTTGCCATGACCATGGCCTGGAATGTTTTTTAATTAGCTTTCACCAGCAAACAGTCAGTCGACAGATGAGGGATGCCATGGCAATAGAAAATGTAAATGAAAAGTTCGTGAACATCCTGCCAAAGCACACACACCCAGAGATACATAGAAACAACTCTCCATTAAATTCATTTGACAGATTGTCAGCTTGTCAGGTTATTTCCCTTTTGATTGCGAATCCAAAGTCCTGAACAATGCAGCTCCATCAAGATTGATTGACTTACCCAGTCAGGCCTGTCTGTCAGTTCTGAGTTAATGCAAATTCGAGTGGATACACAACAGGT